GTTCTTCTTTTGCATGTGATGTGCATCAAGTAAGAAACGATCAACTAGGGAAGCATACTCTCCAGTTAATTAGATGCTTTCCCTGTCCTGTTTTCTAATATGGTTTAGCCTTGGAATCCTGTTGAATCCATTGTTATTCCCAGATTTTTGGTGCCAGGGGACAGCAGCATTGATTTTTCAGGTTAAGAGTCTGTGGACCTTCTGCCTTCAAATAGTCTTGCGGTTTTAAAGATTACATAAGCTTGATGGAGTACAAAATTTTTCAGGCTCTAGGTACAAGTATATAATTAGCTCTGTGCTTTATAATCTCAATTTATTATTGTGCAGGATGAATTTTGATACAGTAGTTTCTAAGTTGAGTCATATGCTGCAGAACCTTTTAAAGGCTGACTGTGTTGCATCAAAGTAGCTGAATGCGATGCACTTCTAGTCCTAAATCTCAGATCAGAATTGGCAGCAGAGCCTTCCTAGGGGTGAACATCTGGACTTCTGTAAGTTTCTGGTTTGTGTTTTAGGACAATGTGGTTCCAGTCTGGCTTTGGTTTTATATAGATGACAGCGATTGCGTTTTTCAGTGTGGGTTCATGAAGTGCTATAGCAGTGAGGGATATTTGAGGGTGTAATTATTTGTCAACATCCGTTCACAGGATGTTGTATTTACACTGAAGTGTTTATGGACTGTGCTGCCTTTTATATTTCCTGGGGTGGGGGGGGAATAATGGTTGGAGCTTATTTGGGTGGAACTGTCCAAGCCAGATCTTGGTAAGCAGAACTTTTGAGGCTCAGCTGTAGATGTTAGGCAGAAGTGAGATGAAGGTTAATGAGACCCACAAGTTTCAGAGATTTAGCAGTGGCTTAAAAACTAAGTATGCTATTCTGCCACTTGCTAATCTATTTTTAGACATTCTGTCAATGGATATTTTGAACCTCTAAATCCATGTGATGTATTTTTAAATGGAAGCATTAGACTCTTCGTTCTCCTAGCTGGATGGGCAAGTAGTGTGGCCAGAGGTTTGAAGCGTTGTCGATCCAGGTATTTCTCTCAACATAAATAGTACCAATTTGCATAGCTTCCTAGATCGTTTAAATTTTAATGTTCAAACTAGCCCTACGTGTTTTCTGACTTTGGCAATGTGCTTTTTTCCCCTTCATGTGTTTTGCGGTAGATGTTCCAGTGTGGTCTAAGCTAGAGTCTGGCCACCTTCCTTCCATGCAGCAGCTTGTACAAATTCTCGATAACGAAATGAAGCTCAATGTGCACATGGAGTCAATGCCTCATCATCGATCATAGCCCCATCTATCAGCACTGAAACTTCTTGTAAGTCTTCTTCCAGTCACCAGCTGTCTGTTGACTCGGATGTGAAGGACCGCATGTTGCAGATTGAACGTTGTACTCTTTACATTGTTCATTTAAAATTGTTTTGCTGGAGAACCAGCTCTAGTGCCTTTCAGTAAATTGATGTGGGTGATTTTACAGATACTGTTTGGTGGGAGGTTTTGGTTTGGGGTTTATTCTACCCAGTTTCAAAACTGGAAGCTGGCATTTCTTTGGACAGAAAAAAATGTGTTACTACATGCAGAAGGCCTTGAGTTAGTGAACTGTATTATGCCGAGATCAGAAAACACACTGCGTTATGTGCCTTAAAATAGTCTCTGTCCAAAGGGTTTCTCTGTAACTTGTAACCTAATGGAATCACATGACCCTAGAAAGTAGAACATTTCATGCTCCCATCTGTGTGCTGTACTGTTTTAACCTTTCGCAAATATTCCTTGACTGTTAGGAGCAGGGGGTTCACACCCATGCTTTTATATTTTATGACAACCAATTCAGTGTTCCTATGTCACTTGTGGCTTTCAAAGCAATTAGCTTGTGATTCTTCATAGGAGCATTGGTGCTCTACAGAAAGACAATCTTAGTGCAAAAATGGGCAGTTCACTCTTAAGAGACCACTTCAGTGAAGGGTTGATTAGCTGTGGTGTGGTTTTTGGCACAAGAATGCCTTGGTTGGAGAGACTGGTTCTTGGCATTACCTTGCCAACAGACACCCCACGCTTGAGTGACAGACCCTGTGCTCCCATTTCTGTCGACTGACATCTTGCAACTGGTCTCGCCACCTTAAACTGATCAGTTGGCCCCAGCTGTAGCAATTAATGACCTAGCTCTGTTCAAACACCTGCACAGATTTCCTTCAGAAGTCTGTTTAAAATGATTGGGCTTCTGCAAAAGGCGTATTTACGTACGCAAGGACGTAGCATGTGGAGGTGTACGTTCGGAGAAACCTACGCTCTGCCAGAGCACTGCAGGCAGTCTCACTCCTTCTAGGAAACCACGCTCTGTAACCAGGGCTTGCTCTGCTTTTTCTCACTCCTTCAGAGCTCAGACCTCAGCCCCCCCTTTTTTTCCCCTATCGATCTCTTCCTCCACTAATGCTCCTGTGGCTTCCTGAAGTGGGGAGAGCAATTCGGAGAGATTGCTCCCTTGAAATCCTCATACAGGGAATGAGAAACAGTTGACTTTGATTCCTGCAGGCATGTCCTATTAAGTAAGGTTTGTCCTAATAATTTAGCAGAAGTAGTCTTAATAACAAAATAAACTGTTCTGTATTTTTAAAATACTATTTGGTATTAAGAAGTTTGGTGCTGCCCACGGAAGTGGTTGAGCCCCCATCCCTTGGAGGTATTTAAAAGATAGATAGACGAGGTTTTTAGGGACATGGTTTAGTGGTGGAATGGCAGGGTTAGGTTAACAGTTGGACTTGATGATCTTAAAGGTCTTTTCCAACCTAAATGGTCCTGTGATTCCTGTATTTTTCAGGTGGGCTTGCTGAAGCCCAGCGTCCTGTGTGTACAGATTTGGAGGGTCTCGGGCAGTATTTTTTGTTGCAAAGTAGGTTGATGTCACTTTCAAGCTTAGAAAGCACGCTAAGACTGTTCTTACGTAGAATTTGATTTAATCAGACATGAGTTTAGAAAAACAACAACAAAAAAAACCCCATTCGGTTGTATTGCCATTCATGTGGGTAACAGTACATGTTAGGAGAGTCTGATAGTGAGACTTAGTGACTTTGTGTTGTGATGCCTCCTTATTTGATTTCACGCTAATGTGATGTCATTCTGATGGTGTCCTTGTAGGCAATCGCCCAGAGTAACATAACGATAGTACTCTCTTGCTGTGAGTTGTGACCTCTCAGGGGACAGTGCTTGTAATTCAGGTTTCATAATCCGAAGTGTACAGAGCCTGCTGTTCTCCCTGGTTTATAGAAAATGCCTCAGCTCTCTGTTCTGACAGTGCTGGAGATGATTTGCTTGTTTAATGCAGGAGTAGTTGCCGACTGTAACGCTTGTGTCTCCGTTTGCAGGCGTTAAGCAGTTATTTCCAAAGGCAGCGTGGCTCCGACCCATGAAGGCCTGTACTGAAGACAGCACGCTGTTAGTACAGACTGGATGCTTCTCTCGCAGTCACGTTGTGCCTCCTGAAAAAAAACTTAATGAAAGACCTCTTTCAGTGCTGGCGTGTTTCCAGATAACTGCACATTCATGGAGTGCAATAATACTGTATAGTTTTTTTAAGATTTCATTCGACCAGTTCATAGTTCAACAATGCAGGCATTACTAATTGTAACTTATTTTATATTCATGTTTCACGCAATGGCAGATTGAGTTGGTATCTAATTTTTCCTCGGGGAAAAAAAAGTTTGTTTAATCTGTTCTATTTTATATGAATTTATGTTCTTTTTGTAGTTTAAAATGAAGCTCTAGGAGTGTCTGATATTGTCCTAAACTGTTAAGTAATTGACGGCTGTCTATCAAACATCGCTAATGTGATTAAAGCAGGTTTGTATATTTTTCAAAATATATGGCAGAGTTGAACAGTGCATTATATACTAAATTATATACACAAAATTATATGCAGAGTAGTTACATCGTTTTGTGACTTCAGTAAAAAGTAAGATCAACTGCTCTTTAAATTGTGTTGGCCAGCTCGAGAGTTTTTTCCTTGACCATTCTGAAGAGATGAAAAGCTGGGCCTTTCTATTGTCCTAAACAGAAACTAAGAAAGTTAATTTAAATAAAGAGTTCTCGTTTACTGTGTTTGAGTCACTGATGTACCTCGTTTGAGTCACTGATGGATATTCTTAGAATTGCAATTGAAACAGTGCATAAAAAGCCTACTTTCCGAAGTCATTAATCTTGTGTTTGTCTTGTCTAAGTCCCTGACCACCTCCGGGTTCTGGAGGAACACACAGAGCTTTCCCTTTTCCCTCGTGTGCCTGCTGAAGTTCAGCTGCAATTAGAGTTGAGGTGCTGTTGTACCAGGGGAAGCTCACCCTTGTAAAACCAGCTGAAGTGCTTCCTGGGTCCCTCTTACCAAACTCATCTCTGGATGGGGAGGTGAGGAAGGGAGGTGGTCTCTGTTGGGGTGGTAAATCAGATGGGGAGGGGATCTGCAGAGCCGTGCCAAAGGCAGCTGTCACGGTTTGTAAGAACTTCCCTTGACCCTCCCAAGGCTGCAGGGACCGATGTAAGAAACGCTTCAGGTAACCACAGCTCTGTCCGCCCAGCTGATAGAAAAGTCGATGCCAGTTGTTACAAAAGTGCTGCATGCAGCAGCCTAGGCTGTTGGCCCCGCAGCGCCCTGCAAGGGTGTCCTGGTGGGGCAGGGATTCCTGTGGCCCCACGCCC